TGGCGTCGTTATCAAAAACGTATACAATTTAAAAATAATTTAAATAACAAATCTCACAGTATTCGAAAAATACCAATACAAATTAATGATCGTCAATCGAAAAGTTATGAAACACAAGTATGTACATATATTGACTTGTTGTTTTTTTTTAGTTCTTTTATTTGAATAGAAAGTCGAAGTATTCATACCACAAAATATAGATGATATCACTGAACAAAATTTAGGTGAAATTCATACACGATTTACACCTCAACATGGTATTCAACAAATGCATCAATATTATCCAAGGTTTGAATATCGAATAAATTTAATTTAATTGTGATATTTTCAATATTTTAGAACGATGAAAGCTTATTTTTAAACAAAAAAAAAAAAAAAGAAGAAAATCAAATGTTTAATAATGGTTTTAAATGACTTGTATCTCATATGATGAATAAAAAGATCATTTTTCATGATATCTTATTTCAATAATTCATTATTTAAACGATTAATATTTTTGTTTTATTTTGTTTTTTGTTAATCATTCAAAATCTTTATTAATATCTTAATTTAAAACTATTGATATTATTTGTAAATATTATTTTGTATTCATTTGATTTAATTTTGATAAATGAAAAAAAAAAATAATATCAATGAGTAATTTTTTCATAATAGAATTTCTTTTTGCAAAACAAAATAATAAAAAAATAAGTTAGCTTTCATTTCTAATCAGTACTATTGATCTATCAAAATCTGGTAAAATGTATATGTCTGTCGCTCGTACTAAATCATACAGAGCAATACCAGTTATATCCAATGATAAACAGTGCGCATCAATAGATCTGAAATGTTCTGGAATGGAAAACGTCTGTTGTCTACTATATTAGATATTATGAACAGCTATCAGAATAGGTTTATTTTTTTTTTTTTTAATTTTGTTATTTTACAAGATTCTTTATTCTATATTATCTAATGTTAATTAAATATGTCATGACACCATAAAGCTCTATTTTTAAAATATATCTACCAAGAATCCAAGTTGTTCATGTGAAATTTTTAAATAAAAAAAAAGAAAAAAAACTCATTCATTGGAATTGTTTTTTCACTAGTTTACCGAAATTGGTTATACATAAAAAAAAGGAAGATTGTTGATTTATCGGCTACATCAAGAACAAACATAAGTATTTTTATTTCATCTTGATTAAAAATATAAGATGAAAAACTTTTTTTCCCTTCATGTTGAACTAATTTATAATGTCGTTTTAATTCTATTCTTAATTTGTAATTGTTAGTCAACCGAAATAAAAATTTTCTTACATTCAATGATGCATTAGTAAGTAATATTTGTTTTTTTTATTTCTCTAAGACATTGACATGATTTACGTGACAAAATTTGCAAAATCACTAACGTAATAAAATATCTAATTTCTTTTTTTTTTTTCATTTATTCTGAACTTTTTCATATTAATTGGTTTGTGCATGATAATGACAATGATGTTATATACTCTCTATTGAATTCAACTTAATAAGCAATAGAATGTCGTTATTATCGTGAGACTTAATTTCATTAGGTTTTTCTTTTTCTTATGTCTTCTTCTTTTCTCTTTGTTGCTTCTTCAAATTCTAACAAAAATAATTCGTTCTATGTCGATGTGTTTGTTAGTAAAGTTCAATAATGCAACATTGTTAATTTGAACTATTGCTAATATGACCTTACAATTGATGGCAGAAACTATAAAGCTTATAATACACATGCATTGCTCAATATTTTATGATAGTCGTTCATCGGCTTGAACTGCCGCCAATCAACAAAAGCAAAGACAGAAGAGTGAGAAGAAAAAAAGAAGAAAAAAAACGAATGGAAATAGAAACAAAAGTGATCCTAGAAACCACACGGGAAATAGTCTACATGTTCTGTTGTACCCTTTTTCATTGCTTGCTTGCCAGCAAACTAATGATGAAGATGAAGGCAATGGGAGTAACATGTAAAAATGGAAGGAACAAAGAGAGACAGAGAGAGAGAAAGAGAAGAGCGAAGGGAAAAAAACGATTTTATTGATGAACAAAGGAAACTTTATCTTTCGCTTCTCGTTCAGAATGGTTCGCGGCACACATTCCACAATAGTATGCGCCATTTTTTGCTACAATTTGTGACCGTCTATATAACTAGAGCAAGGGAATAGAAAAAGAACCAGAAGAGAAAAAAGAAGGAAAAGAGAAAATAACAGAACAAGTAAGAGAAGAAACAGAAGTGAAAAGAATTCTCTTGTGTTGCTTTTCCATCACAATCATCACTAGTTCCACAACTTATATTAGATTCGGACTAAGAAACATGTGTTTGAGAGAGAGGGAGAGAGAGAGTGAATGTTGAGTTGAGAGAGAGAGAGAGAGAGAGAGAGAGAGAGAGAAAAGCAATCAGAATCGTAATGAAATATTCTTTTTTCTTCTTATTCTTTATTATTATCATAGGAAACTTCAGACACAGTCTTGTCATGCCAAAATTATGATGATAAACAGGAGAATAAAATGAAAATAGAAAAAAAAATTATATATATATTCTTGCATACTGTATTATCACTAGACAACAACAAATGTTCAAGTGAGTAATTTAGACACACTATATGTGCATGGCATACAAATATATAAGACTGATTCATTCTTATGTCCTTGTCTTTCTTATTTAATGATGTCAACGACAGACTATTGCATATGCTTGACTGTTAACATTACTCGGAAACAGTCGTCTCAATATATATCTTTCTTTTCTTGTTTTTCTTTATAATATTATTAGATCTGTACAGAATTTTTCTCGATGATGTCTGTTTCTTGTGTTTTTTTTCTCTTCTTTCTTGCTATATGCAATTTTTTCCGTCCATCGATGTCTATTAAAGTATGTGTTAACTACGATGAGATGCCAACGAGCATCATCATTTGACATTAATCGAGCTGCTGTTTGTCATTTCTACATATTGTCTTGAATTGGAACACATAATAAGTTTTCATCGATATGTTTTTTAAATTGACTAATGATTCCGGTAGTGATACATGTTTATCAGAGTTCCCTTCATCCATGCTTCATTTCTTCTTAAATATTTCTCTTTTTTTTTTATGGTTTTGACTCTTTATATTAACATGTTTTTATTATTCTGACAGTTTAACAATGGTAATTATTACAAGAGTTGATGGTGTCCTTCCGTTTTTATTCCGCATTTTCCACTTACTTTTGTCTTCTCCTCTTTTTCATTGTCATGCATCAATTACAAGATAAAGAATCTATGTTTTTCCACCTGATTACACGGAAAACAATTTTTTTTTCCTTTTTTCCTATTTTTTCTTTCCAGCTTTCTTTCATATTCTTTCTTTAGGGTCTCTTCATTTAGCGCGCATCTCTTAGTGGCATAAATTTTTTCTCTGCTTCTTGTTATTATATATGTGTATGTAGGGGTTACACAAGCAAGAAAGACTATAGCAAGCTTTTCCAGTCTCAACATATACGTCAACGATTTGATCTCTTTATTTTCGTTGTTCTTCTCTTTTGCTGCTTCTCTATATATTCTCTCTCTCTCTCGTTTTTTCTTATCCGTATTTGGCATATATATATATATATATATGTGTATATGTCTATGTGTGTATGCCATTATCAATTCCACTTGGTTAGATTGAACATAGATAGACATAAGTGAGAGTCTGTGGGTGGTAACCTGTGTGTACATCTGTTCCAGAACAAATATATTATAATTATATTTGCAAGGTAAGTTTTTAATCAATATAAAAATATTAAGCATATTTATATTGTTTAAAAACGGAACAAATTTTTTTTGTTTTTACATGTTTTTTTGTTGGACATTTAAGAGAATAATTCTGACAATACATAGCGTAAGTCAGTAATGTATAAAAGAAAAATTATCGATAAAGACTTGTCATGTCTGACACTTCATCTTTCTCTGTCTTTACTTGTATATGTATGGAATAAAGACTGATGATCTAGTTCGCGCCTGCAAGGCGTCGAATGGTAGATCGTTTTTTGATTTGATTGTCAACACATCGATATAGAGATCTCAAAATAACTCACCGGCAATAGAAAATATAGATGTTAAGAAGTAGAGCAAATAAAAAACAAGTCGAAATATTCTTCATTATTTCTTCAAAAAAAAAAAAAAAAAAAAGAAGTTTTTTCTCCTTTAATAGTTAAACTGAAGAAAAATTCATCTTCACAAAAAACACATCAATTTATAGATGAAAATCTTTCTTGTCTGATTGTAAATATTCTTTTTATCTGTTTAAGACAGTAGTAATCGATTTCTTAGTCTTTATGTTGACATTTGGTTAAATTACGTGATCTAGATCTACTAAAGAGATCGGAGAAAACAAAAAATAAATTTCCTTGCAAAATGCATCTATTTTCTTGTCTTCATCGATCAAGTGCATTTACATCAAACGATTAAATAGAATAGCAAATATGTGCGAATAATCCAGACTATTTCCTCATGCTCAGTTTTTTTATTAATAAACATGCATACACTTATCTTTTTCTTTGTCGTCATATTACTCAATCATCATCAGTTTTACTTTTGTAGTGGTTTTTTGACATAAAGAATTGTTGTTTGCTCAATACTAGTTGACTTGTCTATAAATAAAGCTATATCAATTGCTAATTTTTTGTATTTTGTTTTTTGCGAATGACATGTAGATGAATGTTATAGTCTTGAAATATTTGTATTACTCATGCGTATAGTCTATTTAAATATGGAAGAATAAAGAAAATAATCTTTGATTAACTATTGAAAATTTACTAAAAATTAACTAAGATATAGATTTAATATTTTAGATTGTGCTGTTGCTGTTGATCGGTGCTTTGCATGTCAGGTCACACGTCAGCTATATGTATGAAGACATAAAATTTTGCTTGCTACGTGCCAATCTGACGGGTCAAAGCGTCATCATCGATGTGCTTTTCGTACAAGCATATTGTGGAAATTTCTTGATAGTTGTTGACGTTTATCGCATGGCCGATGCCGATAATCGGGTTATTCTTAATGTTGGCGGTATTCGCCATGAAACTTGTATGTTTAAAAAAACAAAAATTTTCTTGTTCTATCAACTGATTTGATTTGTAGACAAAGCAACATTAAAAAAAATTCCAGCTACACGACTTTCACGTCTTACTGAAGCTCTATCAAATTATGACTCTGTCCTTAATGAATTTTATTTTGATCGACATCCAGGTGTATTTGCACAAATACTAAATTATTATCGTACTGGTAAATTACATTATCCAACTGATGTATGTGGTCCTTTATTTGAAACTGAACTTGAATATTGGGGTCTTGATGCTAATCAAGTTGAACCTTGTTGTTGGATGACATATACAACTCATAGGTATATATATATATATATATCATATATTAATTTAATAAACATATAATTGTTTTTGTTTTCTTTAATTCTAGAGATACACAAGATGTACTTGTTGGTCTTGATCGTTTAGATCTTGATGCTGAACCTATAACTGAAGAAGAAATTCCACGTAAATTTGATTGGGATTATGATCCAACAATACGTCATAAAAATATGAGTGTACAAGAATACATGAGAACTTTACCATGGTTTAAACGTATACAACCACGTATATGGCAATTATTTGAAGAACCATATTCAAGTAGTGCAGCTAAAGTATATATTAGAATTTTCATTTTTTTTTTATTGTTATTACTTTGATTTGATTATTATTATTATTATTATTTTAGGCTATACAAGTTGTATCAATATTTTTTATACTTGTTTCAATTATATCCTTTTGTTTAAAAACTCATCCAACAATGCGTGTACCAACGATAACATTAGTTGAAAATAATTTCACAAATATAACACCAACATATACATTATATAAAGAAAAAACTGAAGCACATGAAGCATTTCAATATATTGAAATAGCGTGCAATGGTAATAGCAAAAGAAAAAAACCAATAATTTTCTATAATTTTAATAGTTGGTTTTTTTGTTTTTAGTATGGTTTACATTTGAAATTATAATACGTTTTATAGTTTCACCAAAAAAATTTGCTTTTGTTAAATCACCTGTAAATATAATTGATTTTTTAGCAACATTATCGTTTTATTTAGATATGTTATTTAATAAAGTTTTACCAGCATCATTAACAAATACAGATTTATTTGAATTTTTTTCTATAACACGTATATTTCGTTTATTTAAATTAACACGTCATTATGGTGGTTTAAAAATTCTTATACATACATTTACAGCATCAATGCGTGAATTAATGTTACTTATATTTTTTCTTGTTCTATTTATTGTCATATTTGCTTCGTTAATTTATTATGCTGAACGTTTACAAAAAAATCCTGATAATGATTTTACATCAATACCAATTGGTCTTTGGTGGTCTATTGTAACAATGACAACTGTTGGTTATGGTGATATGGTACCAAAAACTTATGTTGGAATGATGGTTGGTGGTTTATGTGCATTAACAGGTGTATTAACTATTGCTTTACCTGTACCTGTTATTGTTGCTAATTTTGCTATGTATTATTCACATACACAAGCACGCTCAAAATTACCGAAAAAAAGACGAAGAGTAATGGCTGTTGAACCAGTTAGACCGGCAAGAGGGCCAGGAGGTGGTGGTGGTGGTCCAGGTGGAGGTGGAGGTGCATTAAACAAATTTGGTATAGATCCTGGAATGAGAAGTGGACCAGGTGTACCACCACCACCAGGTGGCGGTGGTCTTAAAAAGAATCTTATTAAACAAAGTAGTAGTGGTTTGGCTGCTAAACTTGGTGCGACTGAAAATAATATTGTACACAATCGTATTGGTAAGATGATTACATGCTTAATATAAATAGATTTTGACATAAGACATACTTTGAATATTGAGTTTCAGTTACTAATCTCTTCTATTTAGTTATCAATAATTTTCAAACATTCCTCGAAGGTATAATATCAATGTTTTCATATTCTCTTCTCCAATCTAACATAATATATTCCATATATACGTATATATCTTTGTCTTTTCTCTTCACTCAAAATAAATTATAGACATCTGCCAATGTTTACTTCTTCTTTTCTCTGCTATAATGATGTTATTCTTTAGGAAAAACAAATCAATCATTATTTTTTTCCATTTACTAGAAATCCGAATATAATCAGTTTTATTTTTCAATCTAGTCAATGTTTCATTCATTCATTCATTCATTCACATAGGACATGGTGGTGATGAAGAACGTATACCAATGATTCAACCGAGTCCGAGGATGAGTAGTCACCATCATCATGTGGCCAAAGTTTAAATAAAAAAATAAAATAAAATAATTTCTGTGATATTAAATCACTTAAATATATATAGGTACGATACTGAATTACATTTGTTGCTCGTTTTTCAATTCCGTTTCGTTCGAATAAATTTATCAAGCACTTATGTTGTTTTCTGTTTTTATTTTCTATACATGCACGAATTATTTTTCTTCTTTTTTTTTTCTTTGCATATATGTTTCATTCTAATGTTTGAATGGGGAGATGCATAATAAAATGAAGAAAATTTCACTTATAATTTTTCTTGTTTTTATTTTTCTATAAATTAATGCATCTCTTTAGAAAACCATCCATTGTAATGATTGAAATAAGAACTTGTAAGTTTTTTTAGTATATATCCTCTCTTAGTTTTGCTCTCTCTCTCTCTCTCTTTCTCCTTTATTTTTTATTATTTTATTCTTCTTCATTCATAAATAATAATATTATTATCTTCTTGCATGCTAAAATTATTTAGCAAATTATTTTAATTTTGATACATATTTGTTGTAATGATTTGTTTGTGTCCTTTTTATTTTTTTTATCTTGATGAATATTATTTACATATCTATGAATATTATTGTTAAAGGTCTTTGACATATTGTTTTTGTTCTTTCTTTTATAGAAGAAATGGAAATGAAAATTAGAAGTGACAATACGTCTCCAATAAATAATAGCACAAGTACAATAGATAATCAAAATAATGATCATCAAAATGGACGACGTTCATCTTTTCGTATACAATCATCACGTACAGTTCTTACTGAAGTTGTTTCTTAAAAACAAAAACAAAAATTTCTTTTTGTTATTGATTTATTGGTGATGTTACTAGTCAAAAATATCCCTCTTGTCAGCGTTTGAAGAGACGTAAACATGTGAATGCCGTCCTATACAGCTTCTTTTTTTCTCTTGTCTCTGTCTCTCTCTCACACTCTCTCGCTCTCTCTCTCTCTCTATCGAGTTCCTTTTTATATTGTTGCCAATTGTGATTAATTCTTCTTTTTCCTTGGTCTTGTTCTCAAAACACTTGTTTTCATTTCATACCACGTTTGTTCTGAGAGCAGTCATGAGAAATAAACGAAAGAAAAAAGAATTATGATGAGAAACAAACTGAATATATATATAATATATATATATATATGTATGTATGTATGTATGTATGTATGTAGATATATATATATATATATATACAAGAAACTCGTTCGATCGTTCGAGTAACCGCTAGAGAGCGGACACCAAATTCAATTTTGGTCTATCGCATGTATGGAACAATCAGACAACGACGAAGGAATACTAATAGAAGAAGATGAATAAGAGAAAAAAAGGGATGAAAAAACGATTTCCCTAATGAATTTCATAGAAGAAATAAAAAGAGAAACGTGACCTCGACAGTAGAACCTGTCCGGGAATTCATTTATAAATATATAGCAAAGAGAAAAGAAGAAACAATCAAATAAATTGTGAATAAAGCAAAAAAGAAGCTTTTGACAATAGAGAATAAGTCAACGATCATACATTCACATTCGTAATTCTTTGCCAAAATTTGCATCTATACGACGAATATATTCTTCACTCCACATACGTAATGATTGCTTAATTAAATAAAAACTTAAATATATCATTAAAATATACAAGAAATAACTTACTTCACATGTATTAATAATTGAGTTTATTTCAGAATGTTGAATAATCGCTTCAATATCTCGATCAGTATATAATGAAAGTTGCCATTCATGTGGTAAAGCCTATTAAGAGAAATAATCAATAGTTTATTTATTTTCGTATTTTTTTTTTCCTGTATTATATACCAGCATGTGAGACTTTGTTCCTACTGCTCGTCTACCAATATAAAGCATAACGGATGCTAATACTTTAAGATTAATTGATTGATTTGATGTTACATGACCAAGAGTTAATCGGTATTTAATTGATTTTAATAATAACTTAAAAGGAAAGAAAAATAAAATAAATAAATAATTCATTTTTTTTGTTTAATTTACTGTTGTAATAAGTGCTCGAAATATAAAACTACCAATAAGTAAAAGTCTTGCTCGTTGTTTAGTTATATTTATAACTTTTGAATGATCAAAATCAAGAAGTTCCTTAAAAAAAATTTTAAAATAAAGTTACTAATTTAAAAAAAACGACCAACAAAACATACTCGTTCACATTGCCAAAAATGATTTTCTGGAAATGGATTTCCATCTTGAATAAGAGCTGATACAGCTGAATCTTTTTCTGTACTAAGAACACCATCTTTAGGCTAAAATAATATCAAAAATTTCAATACAATCTTTTTTACTTTATAAAGAAAATTCTCATGTTTAGTTATTCTTATACAAATATCAACAATATTCAATTAAATCTAGAGATCAATGTAACTCACAATCAAAGATTCAAATAGATTTACATTTTATAAGCCTGATCTGTTCATGACCGTCTATGGACTCCTTGAACCTGACTATGTTTGTTGCAGTTTGTATACTTTTTCTATATACGGATATTATAATGATACTTAAATGGTAGAAGAAGATTGTGTTGACAATAAGACAATGATGTCATACATATGGAAATAGAATCGCTATACGAAATATCTGTTGATTATTGTTGAGAAAAAAAACAAAAGAAGAAAATATTAATTATTAGAATTAAAAAAAAAAACATCGTATTTGTCGAATTAGAATATATTTAATATGAATTACTAGTTGAAAAAGATATAGTCAGAAAATATAAATATAAAATCGAAAACAATAAACAATTCATATTAAATAATAATAATAATTATAATTGACTAGAGAATGCGAATAGTAATTTACTGAAATAAATTTATATAAACACGAACAATGTAGTCACGAACTATTACTAGGGATGATGATGATTGTCTTGGGGTCAAAATGGCAAAAAAAAAGTTATTTTCTCAACTTCTAGCGACAAAAATTTCAACATTATCTATTTCAATACTGACATTTCCTCATGAAAGAATAAAGTTTTTTTTTTTTTATTAAAAATTTAGGAAAAATATGACAAATTCGCAAATTAGAGTCTGTATATGTCTCAGACAAATAGATATGATAGCCGATTTGAACGCATGATGATGATCTATAGTAACAATGTACTCAATGAACTGATTATTTTATAATTTTAAATGATTTAACATTAAGACTAATATACTTATTATTTTATCAATTAATTTCTAAGAAAAAATTTAATTCGAGTTGTTTTTTTTTTGTTTAAATACAATATTTTGTTCGTCAAATAAAATAAAACTTGACGACATAAATCAATGTATTGTTCAAAGGATTAATATCAAGAGATCTTTTATGAGAAATAAATGAGTTGTTTAAATTATTAATAAAATAATTTTCTTTGACATTCTAAATACAAATGATTTAGGATATTGTTGAATTTTTAAACAATATGTTCTTCTATTTTTCATTTTTTTTTTTTTGTTTGAAAACATTACAGAACAATCATTATTTAGAATGATTGTGTGACACAAGATGAATTTTCTATTCACATATACAATCAGATTTTTCACTAGAGATTTTTGTTTTTTATTATTCTTTATGTGATGAATGACAGCTTTTTTTTGATTGTTAGAAAAAGTATTCATGATCGGAAATTACTTTTATTTTTTGAAATCGATCAAAAAACTGCTAGTGTAATTCCATCGAGATTAACAGGTGAAATACGATGTAAACGTTGTTGTTAAACGCAAAGAGATAATTTTATTCTATCTATTTTTAAGACATATAGTTTTTCATCATCCTTCTCGAGAAATGCAATAAGGAAATAGTATATATATATATATATTTTATAACGAATCTAGGACAGTTAGTCGCACGGACAGTTGTTTGCTGTGCAGACTTTTATAAGAATTTCGAATAACATAACAAAGCAACAACAACAACAACAACAACAACAACACAATAAAGTAATTTCTTATGGAAGAATGATCATCATCATAAACTGATTGATGTAATTATTCGAGTATTTTTTTCAACTTGATGATTCTAATATAATGATATATATGTATATAAGCCGCACAGACTAATAGAATGATTTCACGACAAGCAATAATATCAGTTACTCTATGTAAAGCCTCTAAAAACGCATATAACGGCTATTTCATATATTATTGATTGGAAAATTGAAACAAATTTTTTTTTTGAAAATATCTCTGTCATGGACAATCGAATATAAAATAAAACTATGAATGTATTAAAACAGTTAGTGAACATGAAAATTGTATTGATAATTCATGAAACGAAGTAACTTTTAAATATTATAGATACAAAAGGCAAGAATCAGAACAAACTTAAATAAATCTGTATAATGTTTTAATACAAATAAAATATCGGCGCACTAGATGAAATGTGTATTCAATTACTAGTTAATACTTATGGTTGACTAAAAGTTCTGATTCCAATGTTTAAAATTTTATAAAATAGTTAATAGCAAAAGTTTTATTACATGAATATATAGTAGAATGTTTCGTCTACAATAATGTTTATAATAACTCTATGTTATATTTAATTCAAACATTCTTTTAAATAAAGTCTATAATATTTAAGACTGAGCAAAAGTTCTGATAACATCATATAAAAACAAAAAGATATTTTTAGTTTTATTTTATTAAATATTCAAAATAGTCACCATTATTATTTCTGTACAAAGTTCCATCCTTTCTAACAGTTTATCAAACGTTGTTTTTTTTTCAAAATTCTTTTTCTAGAATAGTTTTTCATCATCTTGGAAACAAACTCCTAAGCTATTAATTTTTCCTTTACTTGATCAGTCAAATTGCTCTTGATATAATCATTTAGTTAAAAGTCATATGGTACAAGATCTGATGAATGTGATATTATTTTATATCATCTTCTGTTACTTATGTACATTATTATAGACGAGACATTCTACTATGTATTCAAGCAACAAAACTTTCGATATTAATTATTTTATAAAATTTTAAACATCGGAATCACAACTTTTGGTCAACCCTAAGTAATAATGTAAAATGAAATATTCGTCGTTGTCGTCAAGAAAATGCTATTTAACAAACATTGACTTTCTTATTATTCCACCAAAATACTATCACACAACTCATAATATCAACTTTTTTCAGAAACATACTGGTCAAGATTCAAATCGGTTCCTACTCTTTTTTTTTTACTGATGATCAACAGAGCGTTATGGAAAATAGGTGAGGGTACGGGTACTAATCTCATGTTCAGCCACATCAATCTCTACACCAGAAATGTTCATGGCAGCGGCAGTATTTTTTCTAGAGGATATTGAAAAACTGCATGAATTTAATAGAATTTCAGGGTTTACAAGTGAAACACCCCGAGACTGGATGAATGTGATGGACTAGTGTCAATATTTCTGGTCAAATATAGTTGCAGCAGTGAACTTAACAACACTTTTTTGAAAATCACCGCGGTACGTTTATTTTACAACTCATTGTGGCAGCGGCAGATTTTCAGTCGCGTTGGGCATCTCTGATTCGGAATCCGATGGGCTCTAACCACAAAAGATCAATCAATTAGATCCGAGTGCAACAGTTTTAATCGGTCTGATTCGGATCCGGTTTCAAAAATTCTTGGACCTGATGGGCTCTAGTCCAAGTAAGCAAATGTCCGTTTTTCATACTATGATCATGAGAAATTTGAAGAATAATATATTAGACCTAAAATCTAACTGTATGTTAACTGTAATTGATTTCATTTATGATGTCTAGTTTCAATGATTATTAATAAAATATTTTACCATGAATTCTATTATTTTTGAAATAACAATTTGTAAAGTATTTCCAATAATTTGAATTGCTTCTAAATAATTTTTTGATGATCTATTTAATCCATTTTCTAATGAAATTGAATTATTTATTGCATGAATAAGTGCTTTATGTATTGAACCATTAGGTTCAAGATAAAAACGATGTAAAGCAACAATTATTTCTTGAAGACGAATTTTATGTATTAAAGCATTTGATGATTGATGTGAACGATAGTTTAATTCCTTCTATTAATAAATAAATATTGACTCTTTTTTTATTATTATTTTTAAACTTACTGAATGTTTTTTAATAGATTGATGTTTAAGACGTATTATAAATAAAATTCCAATCGCAGTTTTTTTAAATAAATTTCTACGATATTTTGATTTCATTTTTTCTTGAATACTTGATTCCACTAAAAAATCATGATGATCTATGATTACAAAAACCAAAAAAAAGATGTTTCAATTATTAAAAAACAATTTCTTCTACCATTTTGTGAATTCTTTCTGTAACGATTACGTTGACGAGTAGCTAAACGCATTTCATTTTCAACATTAGATCGATCTATTACTAAACATATCATTATATATCAATTTTAAATTAAGAATAATTTTATACATACTATCTTTTGAAATAGATCTTGGTCGAATTTTATGAATTTGTAGATTATGTTGTGAAGAATTTACTGCATCTATAATTAAAAATAATATTCGAGACATGTCTAGATTTCGTGAGTTCTGAATTCTCAAAAATGCAACTTCACTTACGGAAACTCAAGAATTTTATTGAAATTTACGTAATAGATCATTCATAGTGTTTCAAAAGAAATTGACATCATTACGCTTTGCTTACCCACAAATTTTGAACAACTGTACGGATGTCACACATACAGAAATGCCACAAGAGCTTCAGAACTCACAAAATTTGACCAATGCTGTTTTTTTCCGAGTATGGCTTCAAAATTTTTGTAGTAGAACCAAAAGAAAGAGAAAACATTTCCTTATAAAATGGCAGGAGTGTCCTAAGGTCGACAAGATCAGGAAGAGCGGGGATCGATGATTCAAGAGGCCAGCTGAAAGATATTTTCAAGATTGGGAAGATTCCTGTAAAATGGTATGGTAATGATTAATTTGCTGCAAGTCATTTGCCAACAGTGAATAGTTTGATGAAGAACACTGCGTCATTTTACGTAATTTTCATGATTTCTATAGAAAACAGACTTAAAAAGAATCTCTTAATTCTTATATTATTTTGTAGAGTACAATCTCGCTTTGAATCCTATGCAAAAACAACCGTCAAGTTTCTTTGTTCAAACTTGATATTCGTGCTTCTATTAAAAGATTGACTCATAATCCTTAAACCAGAAGTCCTTGAACTTATATTCAGAAATAATACAAAATCGATTTTTTTGAAATTAACATTCGATCATCCATTTGATACTTTACAAATTACTATAAAAATTGTGTTGATAACTATGCATGAAGTTCAGACTTGACAATTTCAAAAAATCATTTATAGATTCGAAATTTTTTTTTTTGTCTCTGAAAACCTTCAATCGATTTTATTTTTCAAAAATCATTATTTTCTTTAATTAACTTTACCATAATCGAAAAAAAAAATCTAACTAACAGAAAGCCCATAAAAGAATGCAAACACTTTTATTTATTATTCTTTTTTTTTCTCTGATCAACGCGACATCGTTAAGATACTTTATTTTTAATACAAATTTTTCGTTCTATAAAACTGTTTATGAATAGTCTAAATATCTCCTCAATTTCTACTGAACACTATTGTTAAGTGTTAATATTAAATTGTATTCAACTGCAAATTTGTAATATTAAAAATCACCTGGTTTTGTTGTAAGAAAAATATCACTTGGTAATTCAATTGAATGTTCAGATAAATTTAATGGTAATGTTCGTTGATGAATATGAGAATCATGTTGAGTTTCATAAAAATTTGATGTTAATGGAGTTCTTTAGAAAAATAAGAAAAAGAAAAATCTAAGTATTAAAAAAAATTGAATAAATAAATACGATAAATGATTTGAATCATATCCTGGTGAAATCGGTGGTAATTTTGCATAGGAATTTGTATGAATTGAATCATCAATAACTAACTAAATATAAGAATAAGATTTAGAAAAAAAATAAAATAATCAAGATTTTATACATTACACTATCTGGATCAGGTTGAATTCGATTATAATAATCGATTCGTGATTGAAGTCTTTGATTAAAACTATTTGGATTTATTCGATTAATATCTTTAATTCATAAATTACAAAAAAAAAACAAAATCAATAATAATTCGATATATTATCTATAAAACATACCATGTTCTATTTGATTTGTATATAATAAATGATCATTTCGGTGTGGACTTCGATATGTTATTCGACTAGTATTCGGTAATTCTATCATAAAAAAAAATAGAGAAAATATATTTCGAACTAATTTCATTATACCTATATATGGACCATGATATCCATTAGTAGTACGTCGTTGTCGATCAATAGCTGCCTAAGGAAAACAAAAAAACATTTTTTTTTTTCATTCGAAATAATCAAGAATTTTTGAATTATAAACATCAAGTCGACGATAAGCTAAATGACGTCTTGCCATTGAATCAATTAAATCATCCATATTAGATGTTAAATATAATTGTTTTTCTATTATAAACAAAAAAAAAAAAAAACTTCTAATATTTAATATATTTATTACAAACCATGTACAGATTGTAAATGTAAACGAGGATCATAAGAATAATTTGATATCGTCAATGGTTGTTGATTTGGTCGATGATGTTGTTGTTTATTTAATGATTCCTTTTTTTTGTTTGTTTTTGAAAATAAATAAAATAATTTCTTTTTTTTTTCAGTTATTATAGATCTTACTTCTATTCGAAGTATTTCTAAATCTCGTTCAATATCCGAATTATTTTGAAGATCATTTTCAATACCTATTCGATCTAAATATATAATTGAGAAATAATAAAACATGTAATATGAAATGAAATATCAAAAAAAAAGAAATAAATGTGTAGAAGTGATTGTTTTTAAAATATGTGATTAAACAAAAAAACAATTTTGTGCAGATAATGTGATTAAAATCTGACTACCTCGAGATAAATGACTCGACGATGATGAAGTTGCAACAGATAATATTGATAAAGATGTTTGTCTACTCAAAATTTTTGGTAAAACTTGTTGACGAACTAATACAGACGGTGGTCGTACATTATCTATATAATATTCCGCTGGTGTCGGAGATGAAAGAGAAAATGTTTTTTCTGAAAAAAGGTTTTTTTATTTATAGAACAAGATTTTTTCTCTTTTGGAAATAAATTTATTTACAAATCTGAACAAAAGTCTTTCCTCCTCGGATTTTACTCATCATAATGTTTAGAGGTTTGAAAATTTGTGTACACACATACTCCATCAGATTCGGAAATTTTGAACCTGATGAACTCTTTTCATCAGATATATAGATCAGTGTGGTTTCATTCGAATATTGTTTGCTTGAGAAGAAATCGAGTTATGATGGATAGAATCTATTTTTGGGTGTAAGCTGTATAATCTTAAAAGGCTGTCTATTAAATTTATTTGCTCGAATTTGACATTAAAATTTGCAAAAAATAATGTCAATAGATGGAAAAAGTTTCTCTAAAATTTTCAAATCAATTTATTGAACTATTACTAAGTTATGAAACTTGACAGAGTCATAGATGGAGTTTTTATTTTGTATATAGATGATTAGAAGAAAATGACGACAATTCTTTAAGAGACTGATGAATCTCTACGAAATTTGTATGACAATAGCGCTATTCTAGTCAAGCAAGGGACTTGCGACGGGTAGTACCATTGATCCAAATTTATGTTTTTCAGAGTTCTATTCTCCGTATGGTGAATAAGATCCGATATAGATAAGACTTTTGTTCAAAGTTGTATTTATTAAATAAAATAAACAGTACATCTAGTGTTTTTTCTTTCTTAATACATTTCATTCTATATATAATTCAAGTTAGAGTTTGTATTCATAGAACTACTATATAAATGATATTTTGATGAGTATTTAGCATCAATTTGAATAAGAAACAATATATACAATCGTTCGATATATTAAACATGTTCACAATTCGAAAAAGAAAATGCGTGGACAAGTCGGTTTTTTTTTTTTGTCATTTTTCAACAAACAATTACAGTTTATAATTCGATATACAACACATACTAATTATAGTCTAGATATGAGTTCTTACTTAGTTATTATATAAATAACTATACATCATGAAAAGCTCTACAATATACCAATAAAAATCTGTTTTTTTTTTTTGTAGACTTATATGCCTGTTTGCTTTCAAAATAAATAAAATTCTATGCAAACATAATCATCTTTTTCACCTCATTGATTGAAAATAAATCTATTCATTGACATAAAAATACTTTTAGTTTATGCTGAAAGACGAACAAAGTATCATAAAAATCAAAAGGCTAAGTATTCAAAGAAAAAAAAATTCTAGTATAATTAGATACATCTTAAAATGGTCTTACATCTTCAATTATATTTAAACCTACTGTATTATTAACATATAAAAATTATATTGCAGTTGTGCTTCTACATATGCGCAATATGAAATTAAACGGCTTCTGGATGACGATTTCATCTGTCAACAAAACAACACTACACATATCAGGAATCATTGACTTGGTGTGAAGAAAATCTTATGGATTTACAAACAATACCAAACAGTATGGATCCAGGAATATGTCGAAGAGAAATAAGTGAAGGGAGAAGCGCAAGAAAACTTTTTCAGAGCTGAAAAAATATATATCGAATTCTTATGAAATACATTCATTGAACAAAATTTTGTCCGTTTTCGTTAGGTCAAGTGAGTGCATATATAAAATATAAAGATTGCTCGAGCTTTTCATGTTGTATCTCGTGATTATACTTAATGTATTGAAAGAGAACAAAAAAATAAAACAAATTGGATCATTCATATTATGAATAACTGATTAAATGAAGAAAACTAGATGTACAGTTTATTTTGAGTATATCAAAGAAAAAGAAACATACGTGTTCGTTTGATGTATTCATCCGTACTACGACGTTGATGATTAAGTTCCTAAAAATAGAAATATTTTTTGAAAAAATAAAATATTTATATATATATATTCTTTACAGAATCAATTAAACGAAGACGAAGTTTATGAATATTATCTTCAACATTATTGTCCATTTGTTGTGGTAGTAACTAGAAAAAAAAAAATTAGTTGCACATATAGATGCAAATAATAATGTTGTTAAGTTTGTGATGGATACAAAAGAAAAAATCAATTTTTTTTTCTTCTGTCTTTTTTTTGCATAACAAAAGCTCGTTAAAGAATGTGTTGTTTGTCTTTTGTTGAAGTTGTATGTTGTCGTCATAGACAATGAATGAAGTTCTTGTCACCATCAAAATATGATCTTTTTCTTTTTTTTTATTTTATTTTTATTTTATTAAAAATAGAAGAAAAAAGAAACAAAACCTTAATTCTTGTTGTTTTTTTTTTCTTGTCGAAAAACTTACTGGAATATGAAATTGAAATCGTGCAAAATCAGGCAAATGTTTTTTATCAAGAAGTCCATCAATATCATCATTTATTGTTAAAAGAATCATAGATTCTTCTGACTAAAGTAAAACAAAAATACGTATATTTTTTACTTATTTATTTACTTTACATACTTGAGTATTATTATTTTGCAAAGGAGGATTATTTTCAGATGATGATGCTTGTTTGTCATCATTGTGAAATTGAATTGATGATGAATTTATACTAAGTAATGATTGATCGAAATTATTACTACTTGCCGTAAGATCATTGGCAGGATTATGTTGCTGATTATATGAAACATTAATTTCAAGGACTGGAGTTGTTATTTGAGTAATTGATCTATCACTATTTCGTGTTGGCAGTTGAATAGGAATAGGACGTGGTAAAGGAGGAATTTTTCGTGGTGGTGGAGATCGATGACGACGCGAGCGTCTTACCTGCGCCATATGTATCGTATGAATATATGTTGCTTATGAATGCAACATATAAAAGCAATCGTAAAATGGTGCTGCAAGGGAAAGAACGATTTTACAAAATGTTTAAATCTTTTCTGATTGAAAAAAAAAATATTTATATATATAAAGACAAACAGCTATAAACAAAATAAATTGAAAAGAAATCTCAACATTAAATTAAAATGAATATAAAGTTTATACGATAAAATTCTTTAATGTTCATATCAATTGCTTCTTTTTTTTTCTCTCTTCAATGCTCTCAATTTCAAGTGTAATATGAACCATTTTTAAATTCTACTGTTGCATAGCGTCATCTGCAAATAAAAGAAAAAAAAAACTAATCTTGTTAGTCTCCATAGAAACCTTTGAGAAAATCAATAAGAACATCATAGGATTTATTACTTAAACATTAATCAAAAGAAAATGTCTAATACAGAGATTAAAAGTCGTTTTCATATTCTACATGTTGAAGTTTCACATGGTAAAAATAAAATTTAAGGAAAAAACAACGATCGAAATAAAATTAATTTTATAACAGGTGCCGATCGACATGATATTCATCTTCATATGGAACGACCACCTTTAGTTAAAGATCTTATGGAAGAAGTCGAAAGAAAAGCTCGAGTAATGACTACGAATCAACAACTTATATTTCGTGGTAAAAAATTTCTTTTTTTTTTTTTTATTGCAAAAAGAAATGTAGCTTTTTAAACTTTAATTAAGGTCAACGTTTACATCAAAATCCCGATAAAGAATTAGAAAAGTTTGGTTTATTTAATGGAAATCATATTATGTTAATTGGAGAAAAAGTTTTATTTAAAAAAATTATTTCATTAATAATAATATATATTTCTTTTTGTTTTTTTTTTTCTTAGTTACCACAAGAAGAAGATAGTCATTTTCAACGTTTATTAAGTATTGAAAAAGATATTAAACTTATTGATGATGTTCTTGAACTTGTTTGTCGTGATTTTGAAAATATAAAACAAGTAAAAAACAAAGAATTTCTTATTATAATTTTATTTTATAATAGAAAAAAAAAACTAACTATTAGAGTCAACAATCACGAAATAAATGTGAACATTTTCTTTATGATTTACAAACACGTACTGAACGTTGTCAAACAGATTTAAAAACTTTTCAATCAGTTGCAAATAATTTAAATATTGATACAACAGAAAATGATGCTACAAGAAAAAAGAATGAAGTTATTGCTCTTATTCAAGTAAATATATTTTTATTTAATAGAATTTATTATTTTCTTTTTAATCTTAAAATTATTATTAATATATAACAGTAAAAAATTCAACATCCTGTCTTTCTTCTTCTTCATGACGAACCTTGACTGATGTTGTCTTAGTAACCGTCCTTGAAAGATATCTTATTATTGTCATTCTCTTTTCCTATGAGATTGAAATCTTTTGTATGATGACTATGAAACATGATTAAATTTAAAATAGTTACATATATGTTTACTTTAATGCACATCATTATATGTTCTTTTACTTTTTATTCAAGTAGACATTGTGCTAATATCTGTCTTGTTTTTTTGTTTTTAAATTTAGGATCGTATTGATATTTCATCGAATATTATTTCGGCTATTTCATCATATCAAGGTGGAAAGAATGATGATAACAATTGTCCAGACAATAAATGACATCATAGTTCTTTTTCTTTTGCTTATAAACTCAATTTGCTACTAATCATTATTTCCTTCTTTTTTTTCTGAAATATGAGTGAATTGCACGATTTGTAAGACAGTTTGCAATAAAATCAAAATTATTAACCAATTAGATAAAAATATTATTATCATATGAAAAAATTTCAGACTCCAAAGAATTACTTAGAATAAAGTTAATTATTCCCTTAGAGTGTAGAAACACAAATTCAACTGTATTTATCTTTCTTATAAAATAGTTACTATCTAAAATGATTCCGAACGATATCAAAAAAAAAAAAATTGGACACCTAAGCATTAGGATTGAAGTTAAAGCTAAGAGTAGTATCTCAGAACGAAGAATACAAAATTTGTGTACGACGAGCTATTGAGTAAAATGTAAATTGTATACAAACTCCGTAAATGATTGCATCATGGTCGCAAATAAGCGTTTTACGTTTTATTTATTGCCGTTTGGTAGACGCAGTATTTTACGACTGTATTAAACAAGATCGAATATTTGATTTTTTTAGATCGTTATCAATTGTGTACGGTATGATAAAATACAATCGTAATACTGCGGCCAATCAAACGTCAATTTACAGATATTTACGACTGCAAACTATGTGAAACAAGGGTACACAGTATTATTTTTGGTCGTCTTGGCGATTGTAATCGTTGGTTCTGGATACGATGGATTTACAATCGTTTACGAGTGTGCTTGTTTGATGTAGGATGCCTTTAGGAATGATGATCATTGTTATGAAATTATTGAATGGTTCGATCGAACGCTCATTACTGTATATAAGAGGATATTACATCACTGTTTATAAGAGTTAAAGAATGAGTCTTCACATATATGATTATGATTAACTAAAATCATATTATTTGAATAATATTACATTAATTCTTTTTTTGCAATAGAAATAACACTAATATAACTAATTGCATTGATGATTGTTATGTTATCTTTATAAATAAATGTATATGTATATAAGTAACACATTTCATTAGACAAATATAGCATGTTCAAAATCAAGTTTTATATTACCATGAAACGAATCACTTCTATATATGTCAAGTACTTTACTTAACTTACGTTTATAATCTGAATCAAAGCTGATAACAGCACAGAAAAAGTTGTCCTATGCTCAGTTTTGATCTAAATGTTACTATATGTATATCTTTATTCTGTTAGTCTAGGATCAATTGAATCGAGTTTCGATGAATGTTACTGGTTCAACTATGACTTTTTTATATACTTTTCATACATGTGATATTAAAGTCAGATGCTATGTGAAAATGTGCCATTTTAATATCTAGTTTGTTTGCATTCGTTGAAATAAGTTTTATGCAGTTGTATTTTTAAGTTTTCTTCTCGATGGGAATAGCTAGCAAGAATCTGAAAAAAATATATTTGTGTAGCTGAAAGGATTCTTTATTAGGGTCCGAAGACTCCAGCAAAACTATTTGGATGAGGATCTGTGGAAAACAAATCCCTCCACACCTCACCAAAACAGCATTATGGCTTCCGTTCGAAACTTGTGAAAAAGGATTTCGAATGAAAGCCAGAATGCTGGTTTTGTGAGGCGGCGGGGCTTAGTTTTCCCCAGATACTCATCTAAGAAGTTTTGTTAGAGTCTCTTCGGACCTACCACTTCTGATAGAGAATTCTTTCAGCTATACAAATGTTTTTTCAGTTTCTTCCTAGCTATTACTACCGAAAAGAAAATAAAAAAATACAGCTGCTGTAAACATTTGTCCTTCATTATGTTGATCATTTACAATTTTTCTTCTTTTTTTTTATTTGTATCAAATAGAAAGAGAAGACAAGGTCATGATGCGCATCATTGCTTTATATTGATATATGACCGAATGAAAAGTATATGCATGATGTCTATTCTTTTACTCTTTACGAGTCCTTACCGTCGTATATCATTTCTTTTTTGTCTACAACAATATTAGTGTTCTAAGTTTTATTAACTATGGGTTCTATATTAAGTAAAGAACAATTAATGATAAAAGCTATTGAACATCAAGATATTAATGCAATGAAAATACTTATCAACGACTTAACACGTGAACAAATGAATATGATGTGTAAATATATTGTACCTAGAAATGAATATCAATATACAATACTTCATTTAGCAACATGGCAAAGTATGATAAAAATAATATTAGTAAAAAAAAAATTAAAAAAAAAAACGAAATAAAATTATATGAAATATTAAATTTTATTTATAGATAATCCACAATTATTAAATTTATTATTAGATTATGCTGATGATTTAGAAATACGTGATGGTTTTGGTTGGACACCATTAATGACAGCTATTAATCGTGATAGTAAAGAAAATGTTAAAATTTTATTAAATCGTGGTGCAAAAATTAATTGTGATTTTGTTCAAGGCATGGATCTTATTGCAATAGCTATGGCTTTTCATGATACTGGCATGAATATATATATATATATATTTTAAATAATTAATGAATAATATTTTCGATTTTTTTTTTGTTTTTGTAGAACTCATTGAAATTCTTATGGATCATGGAGCTCAAGTTATATTTACACCTGATATGTATGTTAATCATGAATATTCAATGGGATGTTATCTATTACATTTTGCTGTTGATGATGGTTTAATTGATATAGCTAAATTATTAATTGAAAAAGGCAAAATTCCAATTAATACATTAGATCAAACAGGATGGAGTCCTCTTCATTTAGCTGCTGGACATAATTATTTAGATATTGTAAAATTACTTTTACAATATAAAGCTGATATTAATATTAAAGTATGAATTAAATGAATTATTCGTATGAAAATAAAAAAAAATTTATATTTTAGGATTATTATGGTAATACACCATTAGCATGGGCTAAACAAATGTATGCTACAGAAGTTATCAATGAACTTGAAAAACATGATGGTATAGCAGATACAGAATGGTATGGAGAAAAATTAATGTTACATGGTTATAAAGAACAAATTGAAGATGATCAAAAACTATATGAAATTGAAAATAATCAATTTGAAATCGATGAATCAAAACCAGACAAAACTTTAAAAGATAAAAGTCCACTTTTACTTGATGCACTTCAACGTCAACGTTGAACAGAAATAATTTTTATCTAAAATTGTACATGTTGTTATTTCTATGTAATATGAAATGATCTAATAACTCAGTTAATAAATATTAATTAATACATAACAAATCTTTCTAGGATTTCTTCATAAAAAAACAAACAAACAAACAAACTTTCATTTATTATTTATTCCAGATATTAAATATAAATTAGTAGTTATAGTATATAAAACAAAAATACAAACTATAATTTACATACAAATAAAAATCTAATATCAATTAATTCTTCTAGTAATATGTTAAAAATACAACACCGGAGAATAAATATGAAATTTTTATACTAATGAAAAATTAAAAAATAGTTTAATGAATTTTTTTTTTGTTTTTACAATAGATCTTTTATTTATTATGTTTTTTTACAACATGAATTACATATATTATCAAAATTAAGTAAAATTTCACGTGGACATGGAAGTGCATCCATTCCAGCAGGACCTGGTGGACCTGGTCGTCCAGGAAATCCTCGTTTTCCTGTTGGTCCTTCTTCACCCTAAAATAAAATTTTACTATGAAAATATTTCTTAGCATTATTTACATACTTTTTCACCTTTTTCTCCTTGTGGACCCTAGAAAACAAAAAAACAATAATAAATTTTTATTATTAGAAAAAAATAAAACGAATATAAAAATCTTACTTGAATACCTAGTTCACCTTGATTACCCTATAAACAAAGAAAGATATTTAGGCTTTTTTTTTATTCCAAAGACAAAAAATAAAAAGATATCCATTCTAAACAATGTCTAGTGCATGTAAAAAACTGATTTTCAATTCGATTGAATATTGTATCTCGGAAAAACAGAGGCCATTGTAATTTCAATATCTCATAGAAGACAGCATCCAAAAACTTTCAATCTATGACAACTTTTGCTCTACTCATCAAGATCTATCTGTCATAAAAAATTTCAAAATTCTCTGATGAATCGTTAAACAGAAAAAGAAACAACACAATAAAGGAGATTAAAACAATTGTTTTTATTTAACTTCTCGGTAAACCAGAAGCATCTTTAATTCCTAGTGCACAGAAATTTCCTGAACGCACGTATTTTTGAAGCTATGATTAATCTTCAGTCATATTTTAGAATAAATCAGAATACAAATAATATCGATTCTGCTAAGCATGCATACAAACAGAAATAAGAACATGTAATTGACAATATACATATATGTATAATAAAGCGAAGGAAATCAATTATAGACGAATGGCAACTAAATAGATTTATAATAAACACAGACAAGACGTGTTACTTGGTTTCCTGTTTTATTTATCTTGATCTATAAACTTTCTTTACGTACTTTTTCACCAGGTAAACCCTAAAATTCAAAAATATACTAGATAAAATATTAAACAAACGAAACGAACATACATCTCGTCCAGGTAGTCCAGCAGAACCCATATCACCTTTTTGTCCAGGTAAACCAGGTGGATCAGGTGGACCTGGTGGACCTTGAATGAATTTGTCTTGAGATGGTGCCAACATTCTTCTCTGAATTGATTCTGCATCACGACCTGGTTCACCTTTTTCACCCTATATAAATTTAGCAATTATCTATAGATATTTATAGTTCCTACAAGAAAAAAAAGAACTTATATTTACTTTTACACGATTCCAAACTATCGAACCAGGATGACCTCGTTCTCCTTTTGGTCCCATTTCACCCTAAAAACAAAATGTCGTCATAGCAATATCAATAATCTACTTTATCAATCATACTGGAAATCCTGCAAAACCTCGATCACCCTAAGATAAAAATAAAAATTCTATATTATTTATGAAATATGAAAACGAACTTTTTCGCCTTTTGAACCTATAAGACAATTACACAATTATTATTATTATTTTATCTAAGTAAAATCAGAAATTTTACCTGAAGGACATTGACAATTAGATACTGTTGATTGTTGAATATATCGTCGTTTACGTACTACAGCCTAAATTATATCACATAATGAAAAATAAACGAAAATGAATTTGGATGATTGTTTTTTTTTTTCGCTTGTGAAAATATGATTCTTACCGTAGATTTTTGAACAATAGAATCATTATTATTAATTTTAGTTGTATCTTTCGATATTAATTTTCGTATAAAATGAAAAATTTTACTAAACCATTGTTCGATTAATGTTGATTGATGAGAAAATGATGGTATTGAAGATGATGATGGTAATAATTCTGTAAGAATATTTTCTATTTGTAATTGTCGTTCAGCTAATATTCGATATTGTTGTGTATTATATGCATTCCAACCAATTAAAATTAATATTAATAATACATAAATTGTATGAGTAGAAAAATACATTGATAAAAACCATGTTTGATAATTAACATTATTCGTTGTTTTATTTTGATCGTTTATCATATCTAAAAAAGAATCAATATATGATTATTAATTAATTCAAAATAAAAAAAGAGTATATGTAATATAGTACTTCGGTACTTTAATAAAAGGTCATAGAAATGGTACTGAAAGATAAAAACATACAAATCCACAGATAGAATATAAGTTCTGTAGATAGATTCGAGTTTGACGATGCTATGTCAATATAGAATATGTATATATATATATGTATACAAAGAAACTACACTAAGAAAGAAAAAGACAGAAGACAAGAGCAAAGAATATTGTTAAAACCAATAGACAAAGAGAAGAAAAGTACGTAGTTTATTTTTTTTCTCTGGAAGAAAAAAAAAAGAAATTTTTTAATTATAACTGAATCAACAAAAAACAATAATGAACCTTTAAACAACAATTTTATATATCATCGGAGGGGGGGGGGCTGACCCCCTGTCTTGAAAAATGCACCAAAAAAATGCTCAAACCTCTTCCTAAAATCCGGTCGATTTTAGCAAAAATCTTCCAATCCTGGCAACTTCAGTATATCTAATTACTAACTTTATATCGACATCAAACAAAAGAATCAATCATCATGTGTTGCCGTACTATGAAAGAGACACTGTTATGAACATAAGCTGTAAGAACACTCGAGAATGCTCGTTATTCAACTATTATTGTTGATGTAGTATATATATCTTAGAGCAGAATATATTCAAGATAATTATCTGATGACCTTTGTTCAAGCTGGGTTCCATTCAAATAACAATTGTTGTTATAATTAACAGAAATCTTATTTAGTTTGCTTCATTCTGTGATAATTAGCATTAACCATGAACATAATGTTTTCATTGCTTGATTTCTTTTTTTGAATATTTTTATTATATAAAATTCTTTTTCTCAAAGTATTCTTTATCAATTAAGTGTTAATTACTTGTTATTTAAATTTCATCATTTATTTGACATGAATGTAATTTAAAAAAAAACGAAGATTTCCTTCTTCATAATAGAACGTCTTTTTTTTTTTATATATAACAGTTTTACTCGTTGGCCTTCTATTTTTTTTCGTATATATATAAAGATTGATAAATCATGGGATTAATTTTACTTGACACATATGATTATCAATATTCAAATGTTCAGCCTATATAATCATATTTTTCATGAGTAAATTTGAGAAATAGATTTTGATTAGGAAAAAAGAATTAAATGCAACAATTTGATGTGTCTATGGGAAATGACAGCAAATACTAACGATGTTATTCTTCATTTAATTTATTATAAAAGAAAAATATCGTTTATTATTTATGATATTAATTTGAAAGTTATTCATCACATATTCGTTTTTAGTTCCCTATGAATATTATATCAATTGTAAAGATCAAGAAAAAAAAACGAAAATTATCAATATAAATATTACTGTTAATAATGTCCTTATGGAAATATTGATTATTTTATTGAAATTGATTAATATTGACATCTGCTCTCTTTTTTTCTTACATTTTGCAGTTATGCTATATTCTAAGTATAAATTTGTTTCATATTTCTTTTTCTCTTCTATATATAGTTGTCTTCTTTTTTTTTTTTTTTCTTTCTTTTTTGTATATGCTAGAAAATGACACAATCGATCGGCAAAGCTCAAAGCTGTTGGGGGTTTATTATTATTTGGATTATATATGAATAAAACAAAGAAGACTTTTTTTTTTTTGTTTCTTTCTCATTCTATTTTCTATTTCATCATAACTTGGAAAAAATGAATTAGCTATTGTTATTTCTTTTGCTTATAGTTTATTTTCTTTTTTTCCCTTCTGTCTTATCTTCTAGTTACTTTTTTCATTAAGAAAAAACAAAAATAATCTAAAGCAATATAAATATATATATATTAAATATGAGATGTTTTCAGGCAACATTTATAATTTACGTATTATTTGCATGCTTCTTTTTTCTGCACGATTGAAAAAAGAGAATATCTATAGAATCTATAATTAATTGATATCCCTATTAGGAAAAAAGAAAGTCTCAGAAGAAAAGAAAAGTGGTTGTATCGAAAAAAGAAATATTCCAACTATGAGCAAAATAGTTGTAGATGCAACTGTTATCTGACAGGAGTAAAATAGTGCGAAGAAAGACGAATATATATCAACTGTTGAAGTGGTAATAATATTCGAAGTAACATCTGTTATCCTCAATCTATCTATGCCATAGTAGAATAGATATGGACATATTTTCTGCGTATTTTCCTATATATATATATATATATATATTCTTTTTTTATCTTAAAACATCAGTTCGATATACACAAAAAAGAAATATGTTCATGTATGTTTCTCATTATTGTTAGTTTCCGGCACGACCGTCAGTTAGCAATTCACCTGTATTCTCGTTTATATTTATCAAATAGTTTTAGTGACATTGTTGAAATGATTGAAAAGAGAAGAAAAAAAATATATATATATATATATATTATTAGTGTTTAAGCAAGCAAGTACCGAGAAAAGTTAGAGACCATTAATAACAGAGAAAGAGAGAGAGAGAGAGAGAGAAAAATAGAAATAACACTCACTAATAGAAAAAAAAAACGAAAGGAAACTGTGAAAGCAACATAAAATATTTATTCAGTCACATAATATATACTTTTCCTTTTTAATGATGTGATCCTTTCTATATTAGATCGATCATGAAGCAAAACAATTGAAAGAAGATTATATATATTTTTTTAATTTCTAGATTATTATCATTATTATTATTAGATTTTTAATGGCTCGTTATGAAAGATTTGATGATGATACACCACCACCAAAATTTACTATTGTAACACGATCAAATAATGAAAATATTGATTTATTTATTTCATCTGATAAATCATTATCAATTGAAAATGAAACAATAATACGTCATGCACTTATAACATTAAATATAATATCAATTTTTGTTAGTACAGTATGTGGTATAATAACATTTTTCTTAGCTATTGAAGAACAATCAGCATCAGCACTTGGTTTTGCTGTTGATACAATTCTTGATGTATTAGCATTTTTAGCTATTATATGGCGTTTTACAAGTTCAAATGACCAAGTTAAACGTGAAAATTATGTATTAAAAATATTGGCAATACTTTTTTTTATGTCCGGTTTTGGTGTATTTATTGATTCAATACTTGATATATACAATCAGATACATCCTATACCAAATCATTATTTAGCTGTTGCTGTTACAATACAAACATTTATATTTTTTTGTTTAGCATTTGGTAAATATACAGTAGCAAAAAAACTTAATGTTATATCAGCATATTCAGATGCATTTAATACATTTATATCAGGTTTAATGGCATTATCAGTTGTTGTTAGTATTAAAATTTATAATTCAAATGAAAATATTTGGTATATTGATCCAATTATGGGAATATTTATTTCAATTACAATTATGACATATGGAATTTGGATGATGTTTAAATCATTTAAAAATAATTAATGTCAGATTTTATTTCTTAGATTTAGTCAAATATATATATGTATATGTATATGAGAAAAAAAAAGAAAAAAAAAATTATTTAACGTCCCGGTTGCCATGGAATATAAGTTGGTTCTGTTCCATTGTTATGTGAAGTTCGTTTGTCATGATCATAATGTAACATAACAATAGTAACAACAAGACCCATCATAAGTAATGTTGTTATTATATTAATTACAAATGTACGTTTTGACCATCTTTTTGCCATTGCATAACGATTTTGTGCTTTATATTTATTAACAATATATGAAAAATAACAACAAACTATACCAAGTGGAACAAATAATAAATTAAATACTGACCATATAATAAAATTTGGAATTTTCTGTATAGATCTTTCTACTGGAGTGACTGATGTAGATTGTTGAAAATTTGGCGTTGCATTTGAATCATCATTGCCAAGAGTAAGTGTTGGACGAATAGTAGATGTTTCAGCTCTTTCGCTTATACTGGGAGGTAATGTTTGTGACATTTATGACACCAGACCAATTTTCGTACAATTATCTTCACAGTAAATGTGATTCTGTCATAGGATACTCGAAAATAACAAATACATTGATAGCTTTTATCTTTATGTGATGTTTCGCTTGAATAGCTTTTCTTTTGCATTCACATGTGTATAGAAAGTATGATTATTAAACTACATGCCCCCTAGCATATAATATTTTAAAACAAAAAGAGAAAACAACGATGTAATAATGATTGTTATTATTCAATAGTCGATCGACTATATACGACTTTTAGTTTATTTTGATATTTGTACTATTCAAACTATCCAATGAATAATAATTCCAAAACATAAAAACAAGAAGAAAAATAAGTGTTTGTTACTGTCAATATTGAAATCTTTTTTTTTTTTTATTGTTTTATTCAAATGCAACAATATTATTACTTGTATTTAAATTATATCACTCGAGTAAAAATTGTTTTTTTTGTTTTGCAGATTTAAAAAAATACATATCTATATACACAGATAGATTTGAAAAGAAAAAAATGCTATCAAAAAACTCTTTTTTTTTTTTCTTCGATCATTTTTTGCCTGATGGTGGTCGTTGACTTCGTTGAATAGCTGGTGGAAGAGATTCACTAGATGATATAGACATTATTGTATCTTTATAATAATCTGTTTCTTGAAGATATTGTTCAATATATGTCATCATTTGTTCATATGTAACACATCCATTACCATCCGGAATAGTTAGATCAACTAAGAAAACAAAAAAAAGTTTTCATGTATTGTATTTTAAAAAAAAAAACTTATTTACTAGCTTTAAGATTCAATGAACAAGGTGATGATGAACGTGATGAATTTGTTAATGATTGTAAACCAATATTTTGTCTTCCAATACCACTATCAAATTCAATAGAATCACTTAAATGATTTGATAATTTTGATAATTCACTTTTTAAATTTTGTGATGAACTTTTTGAAAATAAAAAAATTCTATAACGATCTATTAAACGACGATATTTATTATTATTTATATTTGATGGTACCTAAATCAAATAAAAAAATTTTAAAAAATATAAAATTTTCTAATTAATTTACAAATGATATATAAACTAATTTATGAACTATATCAAGTAATTGACTAACAGGATCAGTTGGTCGTAGTCGTTTTTGAGATATAGTTATTGATCCAGTTACTGATGGTTGACGTGAACGATTAAATGGACTTTGTCTAAAGCAAAAAAATTCAAGTTCAAAAAAACACATGAAAATCAATGTCATTACATCAGTATTTTCTATAGGCTCGTTAAAATAGTAGAAGAGAAATGATGAATATTTACTAGCAAAAAGAAAAAAGCTGTTAGTATAATCTCTACGGGATTAAATATATGAAACATGATATAGCTGTTATGGTTAATCACAGAAAGATTGTTGTATTCTATCTATTTTTGAACATATTTTTTTCATTATCTCTTTACTTAATATTCTAGAAATGCAATCAGGAAGTAATGGAAGCAAATAAGTTTAGATACAAAGTATTTTTGATTGTTTTCTTTAACTATAATAGCTAGAGCCAATCAGAAAAAAGATTTAAGTAGCTGAAACAATTACCTATCAAGAGAGGTCTCCTGTTAAATTCTCATTAATAAATTTAGACGGAAGGTCTCTGAAAAACCAAGACTTTCCAAACCGAGTCAATTAAAAATATTTTGTAAAATAAGCTTATCTAATAGAGAAAATATTTCTGAACAAAATAAAATGTCACTGAGCTCTTCACAATCTATCATCAGCGAATTGAGCTCATTTTACGAAAGACTTCGAGATGCAAAATACAGTAAATTCATATAAACTTTCATCAAAAACAACCTCACTGAAGATAGGTTATCGACAGCTCGGATATTCTCTATCAGATGAACTTGTTTGGAAAATCTTTTTTCACAGACTCGATTTTGATTAAGAAAAAATAGTTCAATGAAGTGTCTATCGTGGCTGAGAGTTTCAATGCTAATTACAATAGTAAATCGAAAGTTAGATAGATGAAATGAATATACTTTGTTTTGAACTGTCATTTATAATTGAAAAAAAAAATTAGAAAAATGAAATTGATTTAATATTCTTTTAATAGCTAATGTTAATGTCATCTTAAGTTTAAATCAATTCTATAAATGTCACTTAAATTTTTGTGAATGAAGATCCTTATGGATTTTTTTTTTAACTTCAAATAATTATATTTATTCATTCATCTCAACTTACTTTCGTTCCATGTTTGATGAAGGAGGAATAGGTTGTTGTATTGTATTTGTACTATCATAACCATTTTCAAATGATATATTTGATAGTTCAGGTGATCGAGTTTGATAAAGTATAGCTCAAAAAAAAAGAAACAAAAAATATATATTCTTTTCAAAAATGAAGATAATATTTATATTTTCATACCTTCATTTGAATTTAAGGATTGTTCTGAAGAAAGTCGACCTCTTGAACGTCTTATATTATTTTGTCTTATTGGACCACTTGGTGGTTGTGGAATAGCAGTATTTATCAATTCTTTTGATGGTATATCAGATGTTTCACAATCAGAAACTACAAAAAAATAAAATAAAATATAAGACTATTTCTTTTTTTTTTAATTATTTTACCAGCAGTAAATACATCTTGTTTAATCATATCATGTTGTCCATCTATTCCATCAAAACTAACATCACCAATACCACTACTATTACAACCTAATGATTCTTTTGGACTTGAACAACTAATACATGATTGTTGTTGTTGTTGTTGTTGTTGTAATTGTGATTGTTGTCTTATTAAATTAAATTCACGTTGATGATCTTGTTGTCTAAAACGTTTTTCTAATATTTGAATTGTTGTACATGAACGATCTGTATATAACATTAATTGTTCAGTACATAATTGTGCAATACAACATATATCTGGACGATGTTGTGGATCAATACATAAACATTCAATTATTATTTGTCGAATACGATCAGAATAATATTTTAATGGTATTTGATCATATTCACCGGCACAGATTTTACTTGCAAGTAAAAAAAGATTTGATGTATAAAATGGTGGAACTAATGTTAATATATGATAAAATACACAACCTAAACTCCATATATCTAAAAGACAGATTTAAATGAAAATAAAACAAAAAAATAAATATGATAGAACAAACCAGCTTTTTCATTATATGGCATATGTTGAATAATTTCAGGACAAGCATAATATAGTGTTCCAACAACTGAATTCATTTTACTACAATCATTATCACGTAATTTGGCTAAACCAAAATCAGCTAGAAAAGATTAAAAAAAAAGCAATGTATTACAACGAGCACCTCGTGTCGTACATTGTGTCACATTATATTTTAGTGTGTGCTCATAAGTAGGGACTCACAAGGCTAAAAGAAGTCTATAAGGTTTTGTCCCAATACGCTATTCTTCTTAAGTTATAACAATTCTACTGAGTTATTTAATCTCCAGCAAAGGATTTGGGGGAAAAAATCGAGTTAGGAAATGTCAATCTGAAATTTCGCCCCTACATAGATCTTGTGAACCTTAAATTCCTGAGATATCGAATGTTGAAAAACCTGAACTGTCTGACACATGGTTATTGTCAGATATTCAATATCTCTTTAGGTCGACATTTTCAGAGCATTCTAAATCTCAGATTGAAATTTTATGATTCAATTACTTCACAAATATCTTGCCAATGATAAAAAAATTCAGTAAAATTGTTATAACTTGGAAAGGATAGGGTATAGGATAGAGTCCATCGGGTCCAGAAATTCTTGAACTCGATGGGCTCTACCGATAAAAGATCAATCAATTAAGTTCGAATCCAATAATTTTGATCGGTTGGGTCTGGGCCGAAAAAAAATTTTATCGATCAGATCCGGATTCAAAAATTCTTGGACTCGATGGGCTCTAGCATAGAAACGACCTTCTAATCTCTTCGGGATCTAATTATTAGCAAAATATTAGTTCGATTGGCGTGTCCTATAATACATCCGTAAAGAAACATCAAAACTATAAGAAAACATACTAATTTTAACTCTATATTCATCATCTAACATAATATTATTAGCAGTTAAATCTCGATGAACAATTCCTTTTTCTTTATGTAAATATCTTAATGCAAGTATAAGTTGAATAAAAATTTTCCAAATATTTTCTTCAATCATTGTTCGATTTGTTGCTTTTAATAATGATAAATAATCTTGTAATGATGATCCAGCTATTAATTCCATAACAATATATAATTTATCATCTATGAATTAGATATTTAATAAAGAAAAAAAAAATATTTTGTTTTTTGTTTACTTTCAGCAAATATTCGATAATAACTAACAATATTTGGATGACGAAGTTCTTCACGAATTATTTTAACTTCATTTATTTTTTGTCCTAAACTACGATCACTATCAGTGTTTAATGAACGATTATCAATCTAAAGATTAAACAAATGAATTATCATATGATAAAAAAACAAAACAAAACAATCTTATTGATTAAACCTCTTTAAGTGCATACATCATTGTTGTTCCACGTCGAGCTACTCGATAAACAGAACCAAATGCTCCTGAACCAAGACATTCATAAACACCATAATCACGTATAAATCTTGTTGGTTCTTGTTTTGGATTAAGTGTTTGAAGACGTTCAAGTTTTATTTTATTTAAATCATCAATTGAAATTGAATTCCAAACATCTGTTATAGACTTATATATATTAAGATCACGTTGAAAATTACCAATACTAAGAAATAATTCAAATATATGTGTTGGTAATAATCGTCTATATTGATCACGATTTTTATTTAATGAAAATAAATATCGTAATGTTCGAAATATATTACGCTATAAAATAAATAACAAACAAACAAACAAACAAACAAAAATCTTATAAATTATTTTGATATAAGTTACTTGAAGATGATGAAATTTTTCTAAACGTTGATAATCTTCATTTTCAGAAAAAAGTAATGTTGCTAATATATATATACCATTTTGTTCG